AAAATACTGTTCTTTTTAGCAACATCATATGACCCCTTTAACTAATCCTTAAACTTCAGCTAGATGCCTAAAACACTAAAATACAAATAAATAAAAAAATAATAAAAATTAAACTATACATATATAGTGGGGAAAAAAGTATTTAGTCAGCCACCAATTGTGCAAGTTCTCCCACTTAAAAAGATGAGAGAGGCCTGTAATTTTCATCATAGGTATACCTCAACTATGAGAGACAAAATGAGAAAAAAAATCCAGACCATTAATACAGGTAACGTGTGGAGGACAGAGGAGCCTCTTAAAGAAGTTGTTACAGGTCTGTGAGAGCCAGAAATCTTGCTTGTTTGTAGGTGACCAAATACTTATTTTACCGAGGAATTTACCAATTAATTCTTTAAAAATCCTACAATGTGATTTTCTGGATTTTTTTTTCTCATTTTGTCTCTCATAGTTGAGGTATACCTATGATGAAAAGTACAGGCCTCTCTCATCTTTTTAAGTGGGAGAACTTGCACAATTGGTGGCTGACTAAATACTTTTTTGCCCCACTGTATATATTTTTTTAAACTAATAAAAATGACAAAACACATCAAAATGACTAAAATTTTACAATAAATGAAAACAGAAACTATAAAAATATTTGAAAAAAAAACTAATTCAAAATATTAATAAAAATCTCAATGATACTAAAATAACATGATATTAAATGAAATAGTGGAAGAGGTTGTAGAAGATGATGAAAGGCTTTTCTTCTCCGAGTGACTTGGTCGACAGAGCTGTGAGAACAAAGAGGACTATGGGACAAACAACAGACTGGTGTCTGGAAACTCAGCATCTCTTTCTGTCTCCTGAGAGTGAAGCAGCCAGGTGTGCTGGGGAGTGTGTGTTTATCTCACTCTTTGCCTTTCTCTTTCTCTATTCTTCTGAGAGGGTTAGACACTTCAAAGTAGGGCTGGGTGATATAGCAAACTAAAACGATTTCTTCATCATATACATGTTTATATACACCCATATGTATATAGCCATGCTTATCATTTCTATGTATTAGATCTGAAATAACTTGGCAATAGTTGTCCCAAAAACAAACATTCTTTTGTGTTTCACTGAAGAAAGTAAGTTGTAGTTTTAGAATGGCATGAGGGTGCGTAAATGATTAAACACGGGTGAGTAAATAATTAAGTTCCTTTTTTTTTTTTTTTACATGAAATATCTCTATAAATAAAGATATTTTTCAGGAAACCTAATGCAACTAAAATGCAATTAAAATTAGGATAAAATTAATAACAAAAGGCATGTTCTACATGCTGACTTTCACTAGATGAACACAAAGAATAAAAAAAAGTGCTAAAAAAGCAATACAAACACATCTACAGTACCTACAT